TGCAGTAGATCTGAGCAAGCGGTGTGATAACGTGACACGGGAGAGGCAGCAGAAAAGGAAGAGAAAGGAAAATGGGTGCGAAATAGCCCAGCATTCTTCGTGTCAAGATCCAGTGCATCTGATTCTAGATTCAGTGGTACCACTTAGCAGGACGTTATGGTTGTCGGCCTTCAGGACACCAGCTTGGCAAAACCTAGAGGCAGACGGGGTGTGGAGAAGACAGGCATCCACATGAAATTCCACCAGTTCAACACAGAGATGTGTTCCTTGGCCGTCGCTTCCCAGAGCCGTGATGGATTGACTGACTTAAAAAGAGTTCATCTCCCAGCGACTTCCTGAATGTCTGATCCAGTTACCTTTAGTAAATAAAGTAATAAAAATTACCATTTTTGATCAGACTGGAAAATTCAGCTTTCAAAATATATCATAATATCTTATAAGCCTTCTTAACACATCTCACGCAAACAGCTTCTAACTTGGGATATTTTTTTAATCAAAATAAAAATGTTTTACCTCATGTTTGGGGCTGGGTCTGCTATTCCCGTAATTCATTTATAGCCTTTGGTGGAGTTTTATGTATCTTGGAAAGATGGATGGATAAAACGATGGATTTATGTATTTTTAGAAAGTAACACATACTTTCTAAAAATAAAACCACATCTCTATGTTGTTTAAAACGTGTATTCACATTAAATCAATGAGCATTTCCAGCTTTGCTGCCTGCCTCTTTGTGCGGGGGAGGGATCAGATGTATTTGGCAGAGTATTTACAGTTTTATTTAAATTCGTGAAATTGATGGCAATAGCCCTGTCGAATTTTATAGCCTAGGCCTGTCGAATAAAGCGGATGTTCCGTGAGCTCTTAAAAAGAAACTTTTACCTTGACACTCGCGAAGCTATGGGTACAGGGGCCGTGACTGCCGGAATAACCTGTACCTGCTGCCGACGGGCGAGACGGTGTACTTCATCGCGTCGGTGGTGGTCCTGTACAACGCGGAGGAGCAGCTGCAGCGGCACTACGCCGGCCACAACGACGACGTCAAGTGGTGAGTCTTCCCAGGCCGGCTCGCGTCACACTCGGGACGCAGCGTTAGCAGAAGGGAGTCAGCATTGGGAGGTGACCGAAGAGAAGAAAATCGGAAGCTCTTCTTCGTGTTGTGTGTGGGGTGCCAGCTACCTGGCTGTCCAAGACACCTTGTGAGTTTTCCATCCTTGTGACACGTCATCTCCACCAACGGTGTCACCGAAACCCGTAGTTCTAATAATCCCCTGTTTAGAGACCTTCTTAATACGTCTTGTGCTAACAGCTTCTAATTGGGGTCTTTATTTTTTAATAAAAATAAAAATGTTTTGCCTCGTGTTTATGGCTGGGTCTGCTGTTCCCATCATTCATCGATAGCTTTTGGTGGGGATTTTACTACCTCGGGAGGATGGATGGATGAAATGATGGATTTATGTATTTCTACTTGTCCTAGTTCCCTGGTCAAGTATAAAAGTCCTGTTGCAAAAAGATGATGTCTTCGCTATTTAATATACTCGAACTGGCTTCGTAATAAAGCTTCCAGACTGATTAAGTGGTTCTGAGATTGAAATGGCATTTTCCAAGCAAAGAATACTTTTTCCTTGAGTTTAAAAATTCTCTGGAGATGAAGGAATCGAGATGGAATGAGATCGGTGCTAATCGTCTAAGTTCATTCGGGTACTCAGAGCACGTATCGTCAGTCTGTAAGAAGTTAGACATTATGGATTTCTTGTATTTAAATTTTCAACTAGATTATTTGATCAAGTAAGAAGTAAAGCTTATCTCTAAAGAGCAGGTATTTTGTAAATATCCTTTTTTTTTTTAGCCTAGCAGTTCATCCTGACAAGATCACGATAGCAACAGGACAAGTCGCAGGCACATCCAAGGATGGAAAAGTGAGTTACGTTATCTTTTCATATTTTCGTAATGAACTGGTAACACAACATAGCATTTTGCCGAATAAGCCTGCTTAAGTATAAGGTCTCTTAATGCTTCTTAATCCCTCATTAGAATTTTTTATCGCAAATTAAAATTTTTCCAGTGACCTTAAAAACCCTTCGAGTGCTTTCATTTCAGCCAATTTTTAAATAGCCTTATTCTTGCCTAAGAATTCATGAATGCTGAAGGTATTTACATACATGAGAAGTATTAAAATAAGAAGTACAGATATAATAAGTAAAGTTAAAATCATAATGCATAATCATTTGAATACGGGCATTTGGCCTCTTCGGTGAATTCAGGCACCCTCTGCATGAGCCCCGTGACTTTTGCCCATGGCGTTTGTATCTGTGTGCGATCCACAGGGGCTGCTGGGGGTCTTAGCGTGAATTTCCTCAGCACTTCGGCAAGACCTTAATTTGCATTTTAAAGAATTAGAAGGGCAACAAGTGGAATTTAACCAACGGAGAACAATCCAAAACTGGCTTCCAGTTACTTATTTCTGACAGGCTGTGTTCATTGCCATGTCTTATCCAAAACTCCTTGCAGCTTTTTTGAAATCTCCCTTCATACAGCTTATTATTGCACAATATATGATCTGAAACTAATTACATGAAACACTTCCAGTTTTATCAACATATTTTCTTCCAGCAAACATCTTTCAGAAACTATTTCAATAACATCAGATTTTATGAAGTATTAGCCTTCTGCCATTTTCCATTAAAATTCTACACTTGAGAAGAGATAACAAGAACACTAGAAATCAGACAGCTACTATGTAAACACATAAATGGAACAGCGTCTCTATTATTTATTTATTTATTTTTAGTGTTAGATGACCTTTAAAAGTTCCTCGAAATTAGTAATAAACCATCCATTCCTCCCTCTAGTGAATTGAAGGTATATTTCAGTTTCTGGCATTGAAATTAATCAGAACTTTAGAGCTGGTAAAAACGCAGTAGCTCTCTGAGCCGCCCCTTTCCAGTTACATGCAGAGAAACCCAGAGAGGCCAAGTGACTGTGAACAGACACCCAGGGACTTAGAGACGATCGAACTAGAACCTCATCCACCTGCACTTGACCGCACTCTGACCCCTAGGTACGATGCTCGGCCTTTTCTTAATAAATCTGCTGACTGTTCTGGAATGCTTTCTTCTGTTGAGGAAGAGGGAAAATAGGATTAAATGACCTTGGAACAAAGTTGAGAGGGTTTTGAACTAAATCATAACAGTCCTAAATTTTATTTATGGATAATCGATTGCCTGCGTTGCTTCTAGGGGGCCCAAGGAGCCCTTAAAACTGTTTGGTGGTGACCGTCTTGACAAATTCACACTTATACCTTAGTAATAATACAAACTTTATAAGAATAACCCTCCTATGAGATTCCATTTTCTTGGTCATTTTTTATTTTTAAAATTCAGACGCATCCAGACCGTGACCTCCTGAAACCTTGGGAGTCTTCCACTCATGTTAAAAGACAGTTCTGAAATGCAGCAAAAGGCGTTCTGTTAGGGCAAAATTGAAGTAATCTCAAGGCTTCAAGGTAAAGGTGAATTTTATCACCATCACAATTGGTAACTGCGTTTTTTTTCCTCAACAGCAATTGCCCCCACATGTGCGCATCTGGGATTCCGTGACCCTGAATACACTGCATGTCATCGGAACCGGGTTTTTCGACCGAGCCGTCACCTGCATTGCATTCTCGAAATCTGTAAGTGTGAGCCCTGTGGGAACTGCCGCCTTTGTCCACAGGGGGATGAGCACCCGCTCAAAGCTGAAGAGGAAGAGTTAACAGGCTGGGTGACTGCCCGCACCTATGTGCAGATTTGACTCAGAAACCTCCCTGCTTCCCGGGTCCCCTCATTCCGAGGTCACGCGCTTCCCGGCAGGCATTCCAGCCAGTGGGCCCCCGCAGCCACACTGTCTTCAGGCTCCTGAGACAGCTCTGCCTGCCCTGGCCTTGAGCTTCAGCTGCCCCTCCCAAGGCAGCCCCAGCGTGTGTCTGCCAACCTCACTGGCCAGCCCGCTGGCTGTAAGCAGGGGCCGGACGGGCCTCTTGGTCTCCCAGGCTTCCTCAGGTTGTGCGGGTTCAGCGACCCACCCTTTCACCCACTTCTTCAGCCAGAAATTTGCATTCGAGGCTCACATACCGAGCACACCCAGATAGCAAGCGCCTCGCCCCCTTCCCCGCCCCACGCTCGCTCCCCAATGGGCAGCCTTTCCGTCACCCTGCCCAGCAGCGGGGGCAGGCCTGTGCCGTGTGTGCCGCAGGCACTGTCCCCTCTAGGAGGAGGGCTCTGCGGCCCCTCTGGGGCTGGTTTTAATGGAACTGCTGGTGACCCCTCTCTTCCACTGCTGTCCCTTCGTCACCCCACGTTCACCTGCTCTCCTCGCCCGTCTGCCCCAAGTAAGCAGGTCTCAGAAGTAGAGGGCAACTATTCTGTAACTAAAACGTAGCGGGCTCTTTGTTTAAAAATAAAATTAATGTTCATTTTTAATCACACTCAACCTATTTTATTCTCAGGCGTAGTCTTCCTGTGAATTCCTCTTTTTTTCTAGAACGGAGGAAGCCACCTCTGTGCCGTGGATGACTCCAACGACCACGTGCTGTCGGTGTGGGACTGGCAGAGGGAGGAGAGGCTGGCGGACGTGAAGGTCTCTCTCCCAGCCCGGCGTCGGCCTCTGCCTAGTAGTTTTCCCCTTCGGAGCCTTCTCATCCCGCTGGCTCCCCGTCCGTCTCCCGCTTCTCACTAGGTTCATGGCCCCCAGCCCGACGCGGCCCTCAGAGTCCCTTCGCCTTCACCGCAGCCCCTGGGGCCCCACTCCTGCCCCCCACCCCGCTCCCCGCAGGAGTCCTCTCCCAAGTCCTGGCAGGTTTCCTCTCTTTTCACAATATTTATAAGGGTTTTTTCCTTCCTCATTTTACAGCCACGACCCTTTGAATTCAATCCACTGTGCATTTGTTCACTTTTTCTTTTCATTTGACAAATGCCGCGTGTCCCCTGTGGCCTCGCGTGTCAAGGAAGCGCTCGGGGCGGGCCGGGCACTGGGGACAGGTGCACAGCCGGCACGGAGCTCGTCCACGCCGAGCACACTCGGGAGAGAGGAGCGGTGGCCCCGCCAGCTCCCCACCCCCCCAGTGGGACTCTCCCGCGGCGGTGCCCCCGGGCTGCCCTTCCCCACCTCTCGTCTGTTCTGCACGACATGTCCACGCGCTTCCCCGTGTTCTCCCGTTAAATCACGGGGCGATGTGTTTCGCAGAACTGACTGTAGGTTTCTCATCCCGGCGTCTGTTAAGCCGAGATGACTCTACTTCCCTGACACGAGGACCCCATCGGGTCACCCTGCTTCCCCGACACCATGACCCGTCAGGTCGCATTACCTGTGTAACCTTCCTGCCCGTTGGGATGCAGACCCTTTATCCTGACCCGCCACGTTTCCTAATTCCCGTTTGTATGTATGGCCCTGTCTTCTAATATTCTGGACAAGTATTTAAGTTCTTGCTTTGTTGTTAGATCGGATATAATGAGGCGAGTTATTAGCTAGATTTTTGAAGGTAACAGTCACAGTCTGATTCATCCGAGCAGGACGTGGGTCTGGAAGTCAGATGACGGGGTGGGGGTAGCGAGGTCCACCTGCGGGGCTGGATCTCCGGCTGGGCCGCCCACCCACTGGCACAGGAATGAGACCGGGAGGGACTCCCAGGGCAAACACGGCAGCCAAAGTGGGCCGGGAGTGATGGAGCCATAGGGAATGCAGATTCCAGGGCCCTTGCTGGAGGATCCGGCCACCAGAGGGTTCGAGGCCTGTGTGCATTTAGCACACATCAGCCGCTTCTGTCCAGCCAGGGCCGGCAACCCACGACAGGCAGAGGAGAGCAATTCTCGCAGCCCCCATGTCCCCAGCCGCCCCGAAGCCACTCCTTCTGCGGACGCACGGGGCCGGCCTCGGTGCCAGGGGCTGTGAGAGGTGCTGGCCGGAGGAAGGGCCCCGTGCTCCACCCGTGGGCTGCGGTCAGTGGGGGAGACAGACACGGAGAGGCTAAGGCCGCAGCAAACATAATTTAGTGTTTACAGAAGATGAGCTAAGTGGGGAAAGGTCCGGAGGCTCGCGCTTGGCCGAGGGCGCTCGCTACCTGCCCGCGGTTCAGACGCGCCTTCCCTGAGCGCCCCAGAGAGTCGAGCCGTCCGGTTCTCCCGTTTCTCTCAGTGTTCGAACGAAACCGTGTTTGCTGCGGATTTCCACCCCACGGACACCAACATAATAGTTACCTGTGGGAAGTCGCACCTCTACTTCTGGACCCTGGAGGGGAACTCCCTCGTCAAGAAGCAGGGCCTGTTCGAGGTACGGTTAAGTTCCACTCGTAGCCGTTGTTTTTGTCACTGAATGTCCTTGTGATCAGACCCTTTTCAGGCAGCTCGGAGGCTTTCCGGTCCTAGGATCTATTTAAATTGGCCACAGTGGGGGTGCTTGTGGGGGTGTAGTGACACACGGTGGGTGCCCGGGATCCCTAACAGAGTTGGGGAGCCCCTTGTGCTGCTGGGGAGAAGGGAGGGGCCCACCCAGGGAGAGGGCTGGGACTGGATTCCCCGGGGAGCAGGCCCCCAGCCCCCGCCACCCCCCACGCTGCTTGCGGAGAGCAGCAAAGAGGGCGCTCGGCAGGTCAGGCGAGCAATGAGACTTCACAAAGGGTGACAGGCATCCTGTGCCTTTTAGGCCGGCCGCTGGGGGGCCTTGTGAGGGTACCGGGGGACGGCCCCTCTTCTCTGTGGGGGTATTCGCTGCTACACCCAGAGGCAAGTTAAAGGACCTCTTTATTCTGGTGCCAGGGCCTATTCCTCAGGCCATAAATGTGACACAACACAGCCTGCCCCTCAGCCCCCTCCAACCCCAGTCTCTGCTCAAACTGTTCGCAACTTTCTAAGTGCCAGGAATTCCTTGATTTCAGAGCAGATAATCTCATGGCATAAGTCACGTACTGGTAGATAAAGACGAAAGGCACGTGGTGTGGTGACAGAAGCCGACGCTGTCCAGCTTGGGATCCCCGTGAGTCTAGATGTTATCAATGCAAACGAAAGCACGTCTCGACTAAGTATGTGTATTTACAATATTCTGCAGAAGCAAGAAAAGCCAAAGTTTGTCCTCTGTGTGACTTTTTCTGAAAACGGTGACACCATTACTGGAGATTCAAGTGGCAACATCTTGGTGTGGGGAAAAGGTAACAAGTGATTGTTTTCAAAGCCAGCAGTTTTTGGAAACATAAATTGTACGAGGTCAGGCGTGACTTCTGTAGTTGTCTGTTAGTACAGCCTACAGAATTAATATTAAATTCCAGGTTATGTAAGTGTGTGCATACACGTGTGTGTGCATGTGTAACTTGAAACCACGCTAGAACAGAGGAAAACAAGAATAGTTCGAGTTATGGACCTTCCATCATTCTAAAAGGCTGGTTAAGCCCAGGATATTACGATGGAATTAGGAGCTTTGTTTGGGGTCTGTTTACGAATCGGTTTATTTAGCTATGCAATATGTAAATAACTGGGTCACACCGCATTCAGCAGGCGTCACCCAGCCAGCAGTGTGGTAAGGGGGACTTGTCACTCGGGAAATGTTCATTCGGTTGAGTTGAGTGCATCTGTGCGCACTGACCATGTGCCGGGACCAAAGGGGATGCAGGGCACCCCCGTCCTCAAGGACCTCGAGGTTCAGGGTGGGGGTGGAGGTGGAAACACCCGTCGGCGTGATCTCGGACTAGCACGGTGACTGGCCGCCCACTACGCTGGGTGCTGGGTGCTCTCCGCATTGTCCTCTTTCATCGTTAAAACGACCCTGTAGGATAAGCAGGAGCCCGTGGCACAAAGCGGGAAAGCGAGGCTGAGGGCACTAAAGCCCCTTGTCCGGACACGCAGCTCCTCAGACTCCAGTCGCTGCTCCGAGCCGCTTGTCCTCCCGTCGTGGTTTCTGTGGCCGCCCACTATGCCGGGTGCTGGGTGCTCTCCGCATTGTCCTCTTTCATCGTTAAAACGACCCTGTAGGATAAGCAGGAGCCCGTGGCACAAAGCGGGAAAGCGAGGCTGAGGGCACTAAAGCCCCTTGTCCGGACACGCAGCTCCTCAGACTCCAGTCGCTGCTCCGAGCCGCTTGTCCTCCCGTTGTGGTTTCCCCGGCCTGTGCCCTGCGTTCACGCGGGTCTTCCTTAACCGTGAGGCGACCCAGCCCCGGCAGCCCCGGCGCCGTGCGCCCCCAGAAGTCGAATCCTTTATGGGTTCCTGCCACAGGGATGTTCTAACCAACAGCATCACCTCGAAAACAGAAACGGCGTTCGGCGCCCAGTCCTGAGGAGGGTTTCCTTGGCGTGTTTAGGTACGAACCGGATAAACTGTGCCGTCCAGGGCGCCCACGAGGGCGGCATTTTCGCGCTTTGCATGTTGCGGGACGGCACGCTGGTGTCGGGCGGAGGGAAAGACCGGAAGCTCATTTCTTGGAATGGAAACTATCAGAAACTTCACAAAACGGAGGTGAGACAGCGGGCGGGGCCCCTGCCGTTCATTTTGGACCTTACCGATCGATTTCCGTGTGGGTGTGAAGGCTTTAGTACCTAGTACTTAGATAAAATTCGATTAGATGGGCTAATATTTTATTAAACTCGGGGAGGCAGTTTAAGTACAAGTACTGAAATGGCAGCAGACTGATCAAATTTGAGGTCGTAGCATATTTCACATTTCGAATGCTTTCGTAACAGAACCAGACTCACTTTTCCAAGGGAATAGTATCTGCATTTTGATTTATCCTTGAAACCTTGCCCCTTTTTCACTTGAGTTTCCAGCATGTCGCTCTGGAGACACGCTCACCTTGAGCTGATAACGCACTGAGCACCCGCTTCGTACCTGGCCGAGTGCCCGGGCGTTCTCTGGAGCTCTGAGCTCCCAGGATCTGTGTCAGCTCCTTTCTCCCTGGGCGGCAGCCCGCACCCCAGCGGGAAACCAGATCATCTTCCCGTACACTCCCCAGACTGTCTCCCCAGCCCCAGGGAGTTATGAGCTGCCCGGGTCAGCACCGACCTGAAGGTGGGCGGTCACCGTCCCCAGTGCAGCGCGAACACGCCGTACGGCTCTCCCGGCTCCCACGCTGATGTGCACGACACGTCACCTTGTGTCCTGATGCGGCGGGGAGCAGCCGGCGTGGCGCCCCAGCCATAAGGGGAATTCGGTGCTGCCGATTCTTGCTCTTAACAAAGGGAGTCTTCATCGGAGCCTGGAAATCACTTCCATTTCATGGAGATTTTAATTGTCACGCCTTTTTTTTATTACGAGAGTCGACCAGCATGTCCCGTGTTAAATTACAACCTCGATGAAACTCCTCAGCCTCCTCCAGTCCGTAGAAGATACTCAACCATTATTTTTCAGTGTCTGCAATTCCTCTCCACTGGCCTAGGCCGTCGTCACCTGTCGCCACCAAGTTCACCGAGGGAGAAAGTGTGCGTGGGAGCAGGCGGGCTCTGCCTTTCCCAGACCCGCATGTTTAGGGTCGACCGCCAGCGGCCGGCGGTGGTTTTCATTCTATGTACAGTGTAAAAACCTCCACTTACTTTATTTTAGCAAGTCGTTCTTGGCCGGTGCATTTCGAAATTATTTTCCTTAGTGTTTACGTAATTCCATATGTTACCAACATGAACAGTGGATTTCAAAACTCGACAGAGTGAGGTTGCCCGAGAAGTCACCGCTTTAAGTGGCAGTAACTTTTAGGAACTCGTACTGTGGTGCATGATACTGTTCTTTACTTTCCAAACCTTACCCACTGCTGCTCTCCAGAGTCACAACATGTAAACTAACCAGTAATGTTTCTTACCTTTTAATCTCATCAAGAAAAAATAATGCTTTATTCTTTATTATTTTTTTGACAACCTTACTCTTGCTGATTCTTTTAAGGTATATAAAATGTTTGGAGTTTAAAAGTCAGTTGAGGGGTTTTATCGTTTATTCAGCAAGTACTGGTTATGGGCCTTTTTCTGTCCATATAGATGGGCACGTGTATGTGAGAGAGAGAGAGAGAGAGAGAGAGAGAGAGCTGTCATCATGACGTATAAGCAAGTTTTCAGAATGATAGAGCTACTCATTTCATGACATTTTAAATCTTGTCTTTTCAACACAGATTCCAGAACAGTTCGGTCCAATACGGACAGTGGCCGAAGGGAAAGGCGACGTCATCTTGATAGGCACGACCAGGAACTTCGTTCTGCAGGGCACTCTGTCGGGGGCCTTTGCGCCCATTACTCAGGTGCACCCCCAGCCGGCCCCCAGCCAC